TTTGGAGGAAATACTTCGTAGGCACTCTGGCCTCTTCACAGACACGCGGTTGTGGACTTCTAAGCACTCGGGCTTCTTCGCAGCACTATCACAGTGGTGCGGCTTCGTAGGACTTGGGTAACTTATTCTTAAACTTTAACTTGGGCACCTAGGTGCGATCGTAAACACGGGGCACTCGGGCCGACACAGATGAATCGATTCGTAATGTGACGGGCGTGCCACCGATTAAGCAGATGTTACCGATGTTGCAGATTAAACCGTTCGTACCGCCTGCGCAGTTCGTACGATCCGTTCCAACGGCAATATCAACGGACTTGACACTATCCTGGTAACAGTTTACGAATCGATTAAGGAAAGAAAGAGAAAGAAGATCAGAAGAAGGGGTCGTACGAGGGGGTTCTTATAGAAGGAGGATCGGGACGGAAGAATATCGGGGGTCGCGCTGCAGTGGAGCGCGGAGCGGAAGAATGTTAGGGGTTACGCGGAGGAATCGTTAGAGACTACGCGAGCGCGGAGCGGGATCGCGAGGAGAGGGGCGTTTCGTAGGTACGCGAGAGCACGTGAGAGGGCGAACGGGCGATAGGGGGTTGGTTGCGTAAGTTAACTACTAACGGGTGCTAACCCGTCACAGTTGAGCCTCTTCTTTATACAGCAGCTGACTTTCTTATAAATTATTATATACTACTGAGAGAGTAATTCAGATAAGAAATACAGTTGACTGATCTGTTTATAATTGAGCTGTTAAATAAGAAATTAATACTCTGCTGATCTCTTATTCAGATTATAAATAATAATAAAATAAATTAGAACAACAGATTTGAATATTCAACTATTATATAGTATAAAAATTATATTCTTTATTTAATATTATAGATTGTATTTTATCTGTTCTATAGATGAAATATTGTATAAAAGTCTCTGTCTCAGTTCCACTACTATCAGCTCTGATACAATATTCACTTATTCAAGAGTAAAGATTTATACAAGCAGATTTTCTATAGAACTCATCTTAAATAAATAAATAAACTCTTTATATATACAGATATATCAGAGATAATAAAGAAGACTTATACTGAATGATTCACAGATATATAGAAGACAAAGTTTAATGAGATAAATGAGAGCAGTATTCACAGAGCTGAGTGATGAAATAATAACTCTTTGATCAGCTGCTATTTCAGTCAGATCAATTAAGAGTTCATACAGAGAATTACAGAATTCAATTCTAGCTTATTAAATAATTACTATCTTTCACAAGCTACAGTCACTTTATCAGAGCTGTTGAAGAAATTTCTCTGATTATAAGTGAATAAATAATTTATCTGATTTTATTCTGAGAATAGATTCTTTTATATTACTTCTTCTGAGATCTCTGATGTGAGTCTGAAGCTGTTTGATAGTAAAAGTTTATTTGACTCAGATAATCTTACAGCTCAGAGGTTTTTACAGCTGTTAGATTATCTTTATATAATAATACTACAGAACTCTGCTCTTTTTCAGAGAGAATTTTCAATTTATTCACTGTAAATCAATTCAGTATTTCAGTATACAGAGTATGAGCAGTTTATAGATACTGTATAGACTGCAGAATCAGTTCTTATTTTTTCACAGAAGATGATACTTCAACAGTCAGTGTCACAGATTTTCAAAAGTCTGAGCACTGTACAGAGACAGATCAATATAATGATAGATCAGATAAAAATCAGAAATATATAAATAAAGAAGAAAATTGATAGAATTCAGTGTGGAATTGATATAATAACAACTGAATTCTGAATCTTTCAGTCTATCTCTGTTTCTATCTGTGTACAGAAAGATATTATTAAAATTTTCTTCATTTCTGTATCTGTATTTTCATTCTTCTCTTTATCAACTGCTGCTGCTGCTGTCACCACTTCTGCTACAGCATTATCAACTGAGAATGATATTTGAATATATCAACTCTCTCATACAATTCAATCAATCAATAATCTCTGAAAGAAATGAAAACAGAGATTGAATAGACAGTTCTCTGTGCAGTATCTGAAGTCATTATATAGATCTAGCTGAAGAAAGAAGAATAGTAAGTATATATTCTTTTTTCAGTGAAAGATGATCATTGATGAGATACTCAGTCACTATTATACAATGAAATCAAAATCTATTCTAGAGATTGTGGAGAAGTTTGAGTTGATATACATACAATTAAGAATAAATCTGAACAAGCTCTCTGTTTTTCTCAGAAGAGTAAGAAGATAATCTATATATATTAACTATATTATATTATATATCTTTTAATTTTGAGTATTTATTTATTTATACACACAGACTGTCTCAGCAGAATTCACAAGAATGAGTATTCTCTTTTTCTCTTTTTCCTCTTTCATACACAAAACATTCTCACTTTTCTCTTTCATTTATAATGACAACAATAACAAATTGATTATAAAATCTCTTCTTTCTCTGTCTCTTCTCTCAACTTCTTTTCTCTTTCTCTCTTCAGCTTCTCTATCATCATTCACTAATATATATAACCTCTTTTATATCAGAATTTATCATTCTTTTATTGAAATTTATCAAGATTATTTATTTACTGTTCACTCTGTCTTTTTTTCACTCTGTATACTGTATGAAATATTTATTTCATCATATTAAAAAAGAAGAATACTGACAGAGACTTGTATATATAGTCAGAGAAGATTTTCAATTTTTTTTTTTCATAAAAAAGAAGATCAGCTTTCTTCTGCTCTTCAATAGTATTCTTTTTCTTTTCTTTCTCTATAAATAATATAAGTATTTCTCTGCTTCTCTACTGTACAGTATAGAAAGCTGATTATAATATAAAAGCTTTTATTCTGTATAATTCTATCATTATTCAGTGAAATCTGACTTAGATTGAGTTGATTGATTTATATCATTCAGCTGCTGAATATTAAAATAAGTGACAGAAATGATCAGAATATAACACAATATATATCAGCAATTCTCAGCTGAGTATATTTTGTTATAATCTTCAATTCTGTGCTCTGCTTGCTGTCTCTGACTTTAATATATTATACATCTATACATATATCAGAGCTGATCAAGTATTGTCTCATTATTCATTGTACATCAATATCATTCTGATTCAATTTTATAATAGAACTCTTATCACAGACTGTATGCAGTATCATATATTCTCTGAACTTAAACTATTCTCATTATGCTACTATATATACAGTTACTTTGAAGAAGTATATATCAACTGTAAATAATATAATCATACAGTATACTGCTCTCTCCACAGCTCTGCAGATCAGTCTGATATATATAATAATTTTTATAATAGACAGCCATCACAGCTATAAATATCAGCAGTAGATAGTGTGAATCATAATACTCAGTCTAATATACAGAATAATCTCATTCTTATTGAATAGAGTATATATAAAACTTTTATTTTTCTGTTCTGTTCTATTCTGTTCTCTCTCTTTGATCTTCATTTCTTCATTATTATTATAGATGTATATATATTATTATTATAGAGTTAGATCTAGTTGTATAAGCTGTGTATGATACTCAGACAGTTGATTTATACTTCTATACAGTGTCTGAGATCAGTAGCTCTTTAATAGAGATGAAGTCAAGCAGATTATTTAGCTAGTGATTATATAACTTTCTGTGTACAAAATCACATGTATCTGAATTTAATAGTATTTCTCTTACTAAATACAAGTATTCTGTATGTATGAATATGAAATTGAACACATGCCAGCAATAATCAGATTATATGCAGTGATGTTGATGGCTGAATGACTGCACCTCTGCATATAATCTGGTTATTGTGAGGGTTGGGTTTGAACATGCTGTAACCCAACCCACCTATAACTGGTTTTCCCTGTCCTTCTTGTCGGTTATAGTTATTGCAGATAGGCGATCGATCGTACATGTATTTACATGTGTATATATTCGTTTTCCCTCCTTTTTTTTTGCCCTGCATAGTTGCCGTCTATTCTCCTCTGCAGAAGCTGATACGCATTTTTTTTCTTTTTTTTTTTTTTTTTTTTTTTCGGGTGTCTCTTTTGCGAAAAGGCGGTGGGGCAGCGAGGAAATTCCTCACCCTATTTTATAGCCCCGTTCTTACATATATACATTTACAAAGTAAGTCCAAATTTATACTACATGGCCTGGTCCGCAATTTTATCATTTCTCTATTTACTAGGGCTGATTTACACTCTCCCTCTCCCTCGCCTGCGTTTCCTGACCACCCCGCGTTCTGTATCCAATCATCTGCTTATCCCCACGATTCCCTCCTTGACCCGCTGGGCCATTCATGTACATGTAAATAACGCGAAGGGGAAAAAAAGGGGGCACAGGGAAAAAAAAAACGAATGGACAGGGCACGGAGATCAGAAATTTTGAAATACCAAAGTGTGCCATGGAATATGGAAAACCCAGAGGGAAACAAATAATAGCAAAAATGAAAGTCCACAGGAGCGCCATTGAAGTCGAAATTGCACAGAAATGAAAACATGAAATGGAAAAAAAGGAAAGAAAAAAGGCGATGGGGTTCCAAGGTACATAATTTGGAAGGACAGAATTCAGGAAATTTTCCTCTTTCGTTCACATTGCTACTGGACTGTTTGGGTGAATTCAAAGCTTTAATTAAACTTGGTTTCCATGGGCATTGAGCAAAGTCAGAATTGTTCGTGGATATTGAGTATCGTGGATAGCAAAACGACGTATGATCTTGCTTCGAGAGTCAATGTGAGTAGCAAAGGGAATCAGACGGATAGTGAAGGGAGTTTCCAGGGTATAATGAGGAAATTAAGAAAGCCAACAAAGAAAAAGAAAGGGGAGGTGGCTCTGGTGGGTATGGCCGGTCGGCGGGCGAAAACGGCTTCGTTAAGTCTAATTCATTCTAGTACCACTCAAATTCGCCCTGGCCTTTATGGAACACATATCTACAAACGACGAAAGCGAGACATAAATCAGTTATACCGTATGTTGAAAATTTACAGACTTGAAAGCAGAGGAACAACTCACTCTTTACCACCAGAGGTAAGAATCCCATCCTTCAGTGTGCATTTCCATTTACTCTTGACGCGCTGGACTTTGTCATATGTGCAAAGCATAACTTGGCCAACCGCATCATCACCGTCGTTGGAGTCATCAAGCATGTCTTCCGAGTCGTCCAGATCGGAGTTGATGGCGTCTTCATCTGCCTCCTCCCGCCCCGTGTTTCCATTGTAGTTGTCCACTCCATCATACTGGGCTAGCGCGGATGATGTAGCAACACTACTATTCGAGGAAGTGGAGGGCATTGCGGGAGAAGTTGAAGACGAGGGGTCATTCATCATATGTGCCTTTCTTTTCGTTCCCTTGGCAATGCTTGGCTGTTCGTTCAGGGGCACCAGTAGGCCACCAGCTTCCAACTGTAGGCCTCTGGATTCTACATACGAGCGGATAAAATGGTCGTCGCCGCCGCTGTTGTTCTTGTTGCATTTTTCAGCAGCTTCTCTTCTGCGCGCGACTTCTGCTTTCCATTCTTGTAATGAATCACTGGAACCATCGGTTTGGGAGTTGTTCACCTGGGGTCTCTGCTGGTGCTGAAGCTGCTGAAGCTGCTGAAGGGGCTGTTGCTGGGCTGGATTTTGATATTGCTGAGGCTGTTGTAGTGGTGGCTTTTGGTCCTGAGGAAACGGACCTGGCCTATTAGGAACCTTCTGGGCTCCTGGAAGTGAAAGAGCAGCAGCCTGGGACTGGGCCTGTAGCTGGTGTACCTGGTTCGCCGCAGCTGCTCCATACCTCTGATGTAACGCATTCGCAGCACGTTGCTGCGCGAGAGTTGATGGATTTACTGGGGGTTGACCTTGTATTGTGGGCTGGTAGCCCCCCTCTGTTTTGATACGTACATTGCCGGCTGATGGCTCAGGGGCACGAGTAGGGACTTGTGAAAATTGTTGCGATGGCGTTTGCTGGTGTGGCTGTGAAGGTTGCTGTGAAAATTGTGGTTGTTGTTGCGGTCGTGGCTGCGGCGGTGGTGTGGTGCCAGGGCCATTTGAGGGGACTGTAGTAGGGGGTGGTGGAATAGGGGCTGGGCCTTGGGCTTGCTGTGGTGGTGGGGGTTGTGGAACTTGCTGAGGGGGTGCTGGGGCGGGTTGGGGCGCTGGATCCCAGGGGAAATGGGCAACCCCAAGTGAAGACAGCTTCTTCCGCCATCCCTAAGTAAACAGCAACGGAATATCGAATTAGCAATTGAACAAATCAACGAGCAAGAACGTTCCACTGCGTTTCGCTCAAGAGCCAGGGGATGCTTAGTCATGCATGCCCACTGCCACTAAAAGCGGCACACCGCAATTTGCCGCAGCGTGACTGAGCCACGCGGGCCAAGGCTGCCGCCAGCAGCCGGCGTTCATAAAAGCAGGCCTGGATTCCCTATAAGCAGCGCGGTTTCCCCTCGGTGCCACTCCGCGAGGAACATCCCCAGTGCCCAGGGTTCATCAACACCCGCGAAGAGAACACCTCGCATCCACCCACCGGTCTTCGGAAATGAAGGACATCATGGACTGACCTTCCGCAAATCTTCCAACGTCTGCTGGTCAACGCCGCCCTCCTCAAAGTCGATCTGGGATGAGTCGCAAACTTCCTGGATGACCTTATCGAACACAACGCCCTAGATTGCCAAACAGGAATGCAAAGGATACGTGAGTCTCACATGATGCTACTAGGGATGGGATGGATGAGGATGGAAGCTCATTTCTCTTTTTCTCTTTCTCTCTCTCCTACTTACCACCTGCTGGTTGGACATTTTTTGCGATAAGAGACGGAAGCGCGAGCGCACGACAGGGGATAAATACGGCCACAAGGATCAAATATCGCCGACTATGAAGAAAAGTCGCTTGAATTTCGGTTTGGCCTTTTTTGGGAGCAAGGGGCACTGCGCGCCAGAGAAATAACCAATTGCTCTGTTGATTTCGTGCTGGTTGGTTCAAATGATTTGATGTTTTGCTCACTTCCTCTGCGTGGCCGAACTGAACTCACTAAACCCACCCAAACACTCTTGTAAAATGGCAAAACAAGGAGGAGGGGGTGAAAGCCCAGTAAATGAATCTGATACGAATTCTATAGATCTGTTCTCTGGCGCTGTAGTGATAGATGCGGGCTCCTTGCTTCCGATAGCCAGCTGCTGGTCGGATGGTGAAGAAGAGAGAAATCCCATTTATAGTGGAAATTCTATCAGCACTCAGGCTGCTTAGTCATCCATCCTCATGGTGGTTAGGACCAATGCCGAACAAAAACTGGTTAATATTGGTTCTCGCTACTCGCCTCATCAACCGTTCCAAAAAACTAAATAATGTACTTCTCATTGACTCTTCCGTTTTTTATTTGTCCTTTTTATGGGCGGATTGGTGGTGAACCGCTTTGCTTCTGTATCGTGCTCAGTCTTATCCCTTGAAACTTCTAAACCGTCAAGCCACCCCAGAAAGAGCTATTAGTTCTCCATGATTTACACTCTACTACAAAAATAACTGACGCGAAACTTCGATCTTCACGAGAAAATAAACTTATTGATCGATCACCTCTAACTAAAATCGACACTGAACAGCAAAAGCAGAAGCAAAAGCAACAAAAAAACAAACGTACTACTATTATTATCGACAGGAAAGACAAGAAGCACACGCCGCTCAATATGACTACAATTGCGATCTTCATACTCACCTCAAATGGAGATTGGATGAACCAAAAGACAACGCTCTGACCATTGCAATGCCCAAAGAACGAACTTAACAAAGCGATGCCGAACACCAGTGAAATGCAGAGTCTCTCAAAAACCCGACATAACCTGATATTCATTCTGGGTTTACCGAATCGTCATTTGCTTGGCCATTTGGCTTCCCTTGGACCCAACGGCTCCCTCTCTTGAAGCAGCAGCCGTGGTGCCAGGCTTCCGCTCGAAAACTTTCCAGAATTTGAGACTCTCATCGGCAGCTAGAGAAAGAAAACATTAGCGAAGGGAGTAATTAACCGGAATGCTGCATTCCGTATATATATAAAACATACCAGCAGTAGCTAACATTTGCCCGTCGGGACTGAGACAGCTGTGGAGCACACGTGTTTCATGAGCGGGAATTTCCACATTACGAACGAGGGAAGGATAGCTCCAGATGCTCAGGGAGTTATCGGGAAACCCGCTGGAGCTCACAAGCTCACGGTAGTGGTTACTCCATCGAAGGCTCGTGACCTGGGAACCGGTGTCGATGCTGTTAGTGCGAGCGCCAGTGGTGGTGTTCCAGAAATGGATGTGGCGGTCATAGGATCCACCTCCTGTAGCAAGGAGGTTCAATTGCCACGGGCACCAGCTAAGAGCCTTCACAGCGGCGCGATGGTTGGTCTTGGTGAATTTGGGTGCGCTCAGAGATCTTGCGTCCCAGATGGAGACGAGGTTGTCATTTCCTCCGGTAGCAAGTTGGGCGCCATCGGACCGCCATTCGAGGCCACAGACTTCGGATGTGTGGGAGACAAGTTCAGCAGTCTTGTGTTGGGCGATACGAACATCATGGTTGAAAATAAGGCCACTTCGTGCCCCAGTGGATAGGGTGTGCTTGTTCCATCCCATGACACCAACACGGGTCTCATGGCCGAACATGCTCCTCAGCTTGGTGCCCTCCTCAACGTCCCAAATCTGGACTTCTCCTGTGCCGAGCCCGACACCCACATAAGCTCCATCACCACTCCATTTCACGCTGCTGACATAGGTATCGGGGGATGTTTCTAAAAGACAGTTGACGGAACCGGTCTCCGCCGACCAAACATACACGTTGCGCTCGAGACCGATTGCCACCTGGTTGCCCGAACTCCAATCTAGCAAATTAAGGTAGTAATCATCAACAAGGCCAGGGGCATCCAAAACACGCTCTGGAGCCGTTTGGACTCGTCGTCTGAATTGCGCAGATTGAGGGTTGGCTGGTTTGAGAGGGCGGTTGTACTGGGAGCGGAGGTCGATTGGTTTGGATGATTCTGGAGGAGGAGGTTTGAACGCAAGGATGCGAGTGTTGAGGGAGATGTCGCATGCGGAGGCAAGGGATGATTTGTATGCAACGGCATCTGGCGCAGGGCGAGAATAGGTAGTGTTGTCGTGGTCGTCCAGGCCCAGATTTTCCAAAGCACTTGCGATGTCGTCATCGTTTTCCCTGCTGCCAATATGAAACGCGCTAGCGGCATTTGCTAGCACTGCAGAGCCTTCGCTAGTCTTTGGCCGTTGGTGCTCGTCTGGCTTGGCAGTTCCCGCGGTCGCGAGACCCTCGCTGGCCGATCGATTCGGAATGAAGCGGTCGGCCGTATTATGTGGAAGACGAATAGTTGTCTTTGAAGTTCTTGAACGGAAAGAAGTCTCCTTTTTTTTAGTTGGCGTCTGACCGGTGGCTGGACCAGTTCCAGTCAACGTCCAATCAGAAACACCCAGTTCCAAATGTCGGGGAGATTTTCTAGTTTTGGCAATATTCGACTTTGGAGAATCTCGGTGGGTTCTTGACACCGTTCTCGAAATAGATCTGGCGAAATGGGAGGAGAGATTACCGCCATACACTGACTGAGTAGCCACATAAGTTGAATCGGATGATTGCCGCGGAGGGGTGAAGGGAGAGGAGTGGTTTGACACATTGGTGGCTATGCTAGTGGTTCTAGATCTGGGCGACGGTGTCAGAGGCATCCGCCCACCAGCGGTCTTGGAGGAGAACAGTCCATGGTGACTCTTCAGAGGGGTTGAGACGGTGGCAGTAGCCATTTTATGCTGAGAATTCCAGTATACTCAAGCTACTCCAAACCACAAACGAGTGCAGATGAGATATCAAAATTCAACACTCGAGGTGTTTCCCAGAATAGCTAGACGCTTTTTTGCAGAGAAGCAATGGTAGGAAGGCTCCAGTAAGGTATGGATATAACTACTTGAAATAGCTATACTCGACAAAGATAGATGGGTTGAATGCGTGAACACAGAGCATACACGAGTAGAGAATATACAGATGTAAGCGGATACAGAGAGATATAGGAGGAGGGAAATGATTCTATGGAGAATAGAGATGCAGAGAAGATGGAGGAAAAGAAGCAGAGGAGGCAGTCGATTCCCGCTGGGATTAAATATTTACATCGATTAGCGTCCTTTGATCGCTACGGCAACCGGTGCTGAGATAAGCCATGTCCGCATCGGATCTAGCGCGCCTCACCAAGCCTCTAGTCAAAGTTTGCGCCAAGACTTTCGCTGCCGGGATAACTGTCGCATCGGACCCAAAACATCGTCGACGTCAAGCCTCATGAAACAAACGTTCTCAAAATACCATGGATGAGCATGTCACTGTTCAACGCCATGTTTCTACTGTAGCCGATGTGACCATCAAACTTCTCCCATACGGTTTTCTTGTTTAACCGGTTTTGTTACCTTTCTGTGCCTAATGGCACATGAACTTTCAACCCCAACAACTGCATCTGTTGCTGGTGGCTCATACCCAGTAGCCCAGGCTGCACAGTTAGGAGCCAGTAGCGGTAACAGCTGGGGCGGCTCTTCGACACTGGCTAATTCGAGCATGGCATCCACATCGTCATTATCGCCATCTGCGCTACAAACCAATAACAATTCCTATCTTATGCCCACTAGTCCCCCCAAAAGCCGCCGTGGGAGCAATGATGGCTATCGTCCCGCAGTCAAGAGGTCGACCGGAAACCCTCCTGCATGTCTCGTAAATGCGTCGGTCACATACTGTGGGAACAACCAAATATATGCTTTTGGGGGATTCGATCAGTATACTGATGAAGGTTAGGGAGAGTTGGCCTGCGTTGTGCAAGATTATTTTCAACCTGAAGTGGTGCTGATATGTTAACGAGTTGCCTACAGTTTACAACCATGTTCTCCGGTTAGATCTTACAACTCTTAGGTGGAATCTGGTTGATAATTACGGAGACATTCCAGGTGTCAGGATGGGTTGGTTTTTCGACTTTTTACTTGCTATACCCAAGCAATTACTAACATGAGAGATTACTTTAACTAGGACATACCGCCTCTCTTTATCAAGGAAATAAGCTGATAGTGTTTGGCGGTGAGAACGAACACCGCGAATACCTCTCCGACGTTGTTATACTGGATATTACCACTTCCACTTGGGCATCACCTGAAATACGTGGCCCAATTCCTCGTGGAAGAGCGCGACACGCCTCTGTGATTTACGAAGATAAACTCTTTGTGATTGGAGGAATAACGGGGGGAATAACCGGCGAGACTAATGTTATCCTGGACGATCTTTGTTATCTCGACTTGAAAACATGGACTTGGTCTCGTTGGTGGAGCTTCGTGGCTCGTTTTGATCACACTGCATGGATCTGGGGTGGTCGCCTGTGGGTTTTTGGGGGTCTCGGTTCAGATATGGAGCGTGGTACGGACCTGTGGTGGTTGGACTTGAAAGGCAGCCCGTCTCTCGGGATATCATCCTCACAAGGTACCGTCGAATCCCCAGGAACTCTTGTTAGGATGGCTCAGAGCCCTGGAGCCCAGTATAGTCCTCCTCCCGCCCTGCAAGGTCGCCCTGGCGGATATGCTGCCAACTCAGCCAGTGTGCAGGTTAGAACGTTGAGTCGTCGTAAGTTGCTCACAGCTCCTGGCGCGATTTCTTCTCTCAAGTTTCACTCCGGTCCTCACGTACCCACCACGCTGCTTTCCGGCACGCACTTCCATGTGTTTTCATCTGGTGTCCTTCTCGACATTGCCACACCTTCAGAAACAGTCCGACCCTGGGATTGCAATCTAGCTTCTCTGGAGCTTGACTCGTTAAAGTGGCATCGTCTGGCAGATGGGCCGGAAATTTTCAAATCCGGATACCGATGGCATTATTGTTGTCTAAATGAGGACGGCACCAGAGCGTGGCTTCTGGGATGTAGCCTGGAGGCTCCAAATGCCACTGGTGCTGGCGACGAAAATCGCCTAAACCAAGTACTCCCCATCAATCTCGAACGGTATGGCCTCCTTGGAAATCACCTTACTTTTGAAAATTCAGAGCAAGCCAGACTACTTTCATCAGAACGGCAAGAGGCGCCACGCTGCAGCGGGCTGGGAGCCGATTTGGTTGCGGTATTCGATCAGCCTCCTGAATCTGGGAGTGGAACGGATTTCATAATCACGGCAGACCGTGACGACGATCCACACCATACAGAACTTGGTGATTCGGAATCATCAGTGTCTTCTTCTCATGTCCAATCCACATATCTCCGTGACCCTCGAATCAGTATCCCGGCCCATCCACCGTTCACAGGATAATTTTTACAAGCTAGGAGGGCCGCACTTTCAAGCGTCTTTACTCTGGCTCAAATGGCATGAGTACCATACGAAAAAGAAGCATATACCTGAACCGTATTCTGTCGTTCGTGCTTTCCTTTACTATTTATACACGGACAGCATCGCTGGCCATCCGGAGTACTGTTCAGAGATCACCGAAGTGGCAGGGATGTTGGTAATGGCGAATCTCTACGACATGCCCAAACTCCGCTTGCTCTGTGTCAATAGACTCAGTCGGGAACTGGACGTCGACAATGCAGCCATCGTTTGGGAGCGTGCCGGACGGACGAATGAAGGATGGCTGAAGCGCCGCGCTGCATCATTTTGTCTCGCAAACTGGGGCCGTGTTGTTAGAACGGAGGGGTTCCGTACCTTAAGCAGGCAGAGTCTAATGGAGCTGTGCGAAGTGGTGGATATGGAGGGGCGCGTGGTACCGGGCCATGAACTTGAGCTTGTTGGTGAGTTGGATGGGTTTGGGTCAGGTGCAGATAGTAAGCAAATTCGTACTTCCACTGGTGGTGCATCTGGGCCGGGCATGGAGGACCTTGATGAGGGTGACGGAGATGAGGATGATGGCATGGAGTTGTCATGAGTTAATAAGAAAATACTTACGAAAAGTTTCACATATGGGATGCTCTTCTGGTGGTTATGATATAAGGGGGATTATCTTTTCGAATGTTTATGACTGCATGAATTGATGCGGCGTCTAATGGGTAACGAGCATGGTTTAATTGTTTCCACTTCGGCGATTTGTCATTTTTCATTTTCTTGTTCTTTATATTTTCCAAGGCACTACAGGTTGTGCTAGCATAGATTACAAGAGGATTATAGTTAGATATCGTATGTGGATTTAAAAAGGACCGTTACACATTATAGCCTCTGCTTCTCCCGTAGAGTTAAAAAGTGTCCAGCGTAGATTAAATCATCGGGACAGGGAACCAGGCCGTGTAGGTTGCTCTCGATATACTTATCCAGCCGTTACACCAGCATTCCCCTCAGATTCAATCATGCTCTTCTGGGTAGCGGAAACCAGGATCAGTGCCTCCACAAAGCCTACTTACTGGCTGTCGTTGCGATTGTGGGGTAAAATATGGTACAGCCAAAAGATGGACGAAGGAAAACATTGCTTTTCTTTGCTCCCCTTTTCTAATATCGCATTTCAGGTGCAAACGCGGAATATAATTGTCTTTCTCGCGAACTATTTATCCAGCTCGGACAAGTTAGTTTTGACGGTGTCAGATCCAAATCACAACGAGCTCTTCGTGGAGAAGCGGGACTTGGAATGGATAGTTGGTATTGTTGCTGCTTGAATGAGATATATACTTATCCGCTGCGCTGTTCATGGTATTGACCTCTCTTTGAGTCTGTTGCTGTTTTCTTCCTTTTGACGAGAGAGAGCCATATTTTCTTGTCTGGATATTATCCCATATATGGAATAGAAAAAGGAAAACGAAGCATTATTTCTCCCCATGGTATTTGAAGTATATCAATCATGAACTCGATGACTTCCAAACTCCACTTTGACTTCCTCTGGTGATTCACGACAGCCAGGTAGAGAAAGGATCCCAATTAACGAATCCCATTCCCGGCCCTGCAATGTAGTTGGTTAATAGTTAACACGTACTTCTCAACTCCTTTTGATTGTCATCATTAGCTATCAAATTGAAGGGGCTATTGAAGCTGATGGCTGTGGCCCTCGATCTGGAATATTTTCTGCAGTATCCGCGGAAAGACCGCTCGTGGTTCCTCTAGAAAGATAGCTTACTGCTCTTACAATAGGACAGCTGAGAACTTGCGCTCCTAGCATTTTGTAGAGAGCAAGTGTACCGATTCTCACTGTATACCCTGCTTATTTTGGGCTTACAGTTCCTCTCCTGATTTCCTTATCTTCCAAATTGACAAGACAAACGATATTCTAATACACTATATCGAGAATATGAGGATGGATATATAGGTCCCGAACTATTCCTCTGGGGGGGAAAGGGAATGACACTATTAATGAGAATGGACTACAACACTATGTCAAATTTGTCAACGATCTGCTTGCTGCCGGTATTACTCTCTCCAATGATAACATTGTTACACTGGGATCTCCCCAGTGAGCTGCACAAGAGGTTGCGTTTATAAAGATGAATTCGTAGATGATTTTGTCAACTATGCTCGTGTCGTCTCCAAGATGCTGAGTCCCAAGTTAAGCATTGGATTACTTTTCAATGAGCCGTGGTGCAGCTCGATTCTTGGGTATAATACCGGTTTATTTGCTCCAGGATGTTATCGTGACCGGTCCAAAAGTGTTGGGTTAGATAGTAGCCGCGATCCCTGGATTGTTGGCCATAACCTCCTTGTTGCTCATGGTGTTGCCGTGAAGATTTACAGAGAGGAGTTCAAGACCATTGGTGGTGGTGGGGAAATTGGCATTACCCTCAATGGTGAGTTTGACTTCTTCTATAGGACAGTTGTGAGTGGAAAACATTTGTCAGTATATCAAAACTGACATGACCAAATTTATCGGCGACTGGACTCTGCCCTGGGATCCCGGGGGCCTGGCCGACGTCGAAGCAGAGAGCCGAAAACTCGAATTTCCATCTCGTGGTTCGCAGATCCTATCTATTTTTGCGAGCACCCGGACAGCATTCTCAGGCAGTTAGGAAACCCCCTGCCAGCCTGGACAGAGGAAGATCGCGCCCTCGTCCAAAGCAGTAATGACTCCTACTGCATGAATCATTACTGCGTGCATTTCATTAAGAATAAGGCTGGTGAATCGGACCCTGATGATTTCCATGGGGACATAGAGACCTTGATGGAAGGAAGGAATGAAAGCGAAGTCAGATCGGAGATTCAGTCCGAATGGCTATGCCCGTGCCCGTTGGGTTTTAGGAAGTTGTTAAAGTGGCTGAGTGATCGATATGGTCGACCTAAGATCTAAGCCGCGGAAAATGGGACTAGTTTGAAAGGTGAGAATGAGTTGCCGTTGGAACAGTTCCAGGACGATGAGTTCCATTATTGAGTATCTCCGTGGGTATGTCGGGGCAATAGCTGATGCGTATACATACGTTGGATAATGTCGACGTGAGAGCATACCTGGCGTGGAGCTTGATGGAGTGTGTTTTGACAAATCTATGTTTTCATCTTGATTTGGTGTTATGTATTTAATTAATTGGATGGCTGACCTTTACATCTCTCTAATATAGCAACTTCGAGTGGTCAGAAGGCTACATTACTCGATTTGGATACCCGAAGAAGAGCGCCAAGTAGATTGGGAGGATTTTCGACAAGTATATCAATCAAGAAACTAGGGCTGATTGAGTTGGGATGACCCGAGGAATCCCGGAAACCCCGCTTAGGTGTGCCTCTCTGGCCGTTGTAACCCGGTGTTATATCTTTATATAAACGCGTAGAGAGAGGGAATGGGTAAGGCTGTAGACTCCTCTATTTAAGAGGCTGCTCCGAATTCATCGACAGAAATACAGAACAGCGTTGGATTATGACGATATAGAGCTAACGGGAAAGTGACTGAAAGAACCTGTTAGCACAAAGTCATAGCTCCCGTCGAACTACTAATTTGTCAAGAGTATCAAAGAATTTCATTATATTTCATTATTTGGGACGGAGAGAAACTGTGTACATACTTTACTTCGACAGTTACAAAATCAGCGCATCACGGAGCTGAATAATTATACATAAATAATTATTTTCTGTCACTAGTTTTTATATCTTTGCTCTCCCAGTATATGCTCCACACTTGGCCTTAAATCCATTGTTGGGTATCTGCATCGAATCCTATGATATCAAGCTCGATATTTAAGCTCTTTAGCATCATATCCATGGTAAAACTCTGTGTGAGGTAAAAGTCAGTGGGAAGTAGAAAAAAAATACAATTAATACAAGGCAAGAAGAAAATCACTCAAAGGGGCAAATGATCAAGCAAACCTCATCCTCATCGCTTTCCCCGTTTCTGCCTCTGTTTCCATTCTTGCTCGCACTCGTACCCTCGTGAACCTCGATCTCACCCTCGATCTCTGCCCTCCCTCTCTCAGCCTCCTCCACATCACTCCCAACATTTTGGTCATCGTAATCCCACCCCGCCCTCCTCTCCTGGGCCTTTCTCATATTCTCTCTCCAACCTTTAACGCCACCCATCCTTTTCACCCTCTCTTCTGCTCCAACAAACAGTTCCTCCGCCGCCTCACGGCTCACTCTCTTCCACTTGGCAATCAGAATTTCAAGCTCCGCATCTTGCCCGGATTCCTCGAGCTTTAGCGCCTGTGTAGCGAGATCAAGTTCCCTGCGTAGTTTTGTAAGGCGGGTGGTCAGGGCAGAGTGCTGCTTCTGGAGAGTGACGAGTTCAGGAGATGCGCTTGGTGATGGTGTCAACGATGTGGTGGAAGCGCTGGCAGGTGGCGCGGTTGGTGGGATTGTGGTGGGTCTTTTAATCGGGGTGCACGGGATGTTAATGATGCTCTGTGTTGTTTGTGTGTTGCTGGGGGTAGTTGTGTGAGCAGCAGCGGCTTTAATCGGCGCTTCTAGTTTTATTAAGCTGTCTGGTTTCTCTACACCGTATTCTGCAGATGTGTTTTGGACTTGTTTGCGGAGCGGAGATTTGAATGGCTTGGAAAGCGTGGATGTTGCTTGGTCAAGCCGACGGCGTTTGGCTGCTTGGAATGACATAGTGTTTTCAAACCGGGCTTCGACTCAATAGTTCGCATATACTAATTCTGATACCACTAGTTAAGGTTTCAGAATCATATGCTGAATGTTGCTACTGCGTAAACATCACAATTCAACGTTGACTTGAAGTTACATGAATGCGCGGGCTTCACACTGGTGACTGATAAGATAAGGAACCTGTCCCATGGGCTCATTAGCCTCATCACATGATATTGAACTCTATTTTAAACCCCCCTAACTGATTGTACTTGATTGGCTTCACCAATATAGGCTACTAATTCCAGCAAATTGATGTGCTGGGACCAATGAATGCTCTTAAGCTGGTGGGAGCAATGGGATGAATGGAGTCAATCATTCAACCAGGTTGGATGCTCAAAAGAATACTGGGATGTGTGGCCTCCAATTGATGAAGCATTTGAGGAAGGCGTGCAGAAGTGCTAATCAGTGGGAATGGAGAGTAGATGAGTTTGACAGGGAGGAAATGACCTCTTTTAGAATTGATGTGTCAAATGATGGCATTATATCCAGATGAGCGACCAACAGCCGAAGCGGTCCTAAAGTCAGAGCGGATGGTCAATTGTGATATTGCTTCCCGGCTTGGGGGAGGGGAAACTGTTTTTTATTCCATTTTAAGCCTAGTGCATAAATGAGTATTGTGACCACACCAGTCAACACCCTGTCACCTGTATACGCCGTGCAGATGCAGTTCATCTGCAACATAAAATGACTTCTTACCCCTCTCCTTTTCAATCAACATGGCCCCACGTCAAGAAGTATCAGACGTCAAACGTCAAGCGAAGCCAAACATCAGAAAGATAGCACAAGGTGAGCCACCCATGCTATGGCCAGCCGCCTTTAACTGACCATTCGTTGATAGGGAAGCAGCCTCGAAGCGTTGAGAAAAACCAACCACGGAGACCTGTCCGCCGAAGCGCACGCCTGGATCAGAAATCTCTGTCTTGGGGCGGAAACGCGCAACAAAACCACCCTTATTCCTCTCCAAGTGGTGACACACTCAGGAAGAAGGTATTTTCCTTTACTCCTACTACTCTGCGAAACTAACTGAAAGCCAAACCACAGCAAAATCCGTCTTCCTCTCTGCAAACTAAAGGCCTAAAGCGGAAGAGACTCCAAGAAACGGAAGTCTCGTTCTGCATTCCAGCCAACCAATTTCAAAAGCGACCTCGAATATCTACCGCTGGACACACACTGGACCAGAAGGCCGCACGCGGCGTCTACGAGAACAACATTAATCCTATCCATTGGTGGACGCAGAGCGGATTCTGGCCCAACGAATACTTCCATGAAGGGTACAACATGAGCCATCTTCTTCCACGAAAGAAATCGACATCTTCTCTTCGCCGCAAACAGTCGGAATCTAGTTCTGTCGCCACCTCTACCACACCCAGCGATCAAAAGTCAAGGGAAGAAAAGAATGCTCAATACAAGAACCCGCGCTATGAAGTCCTGCTTCAAACTAAAGGTATCTTTATGAGGAAATCGGAGCTAGGTATAACCAATGGAAGCAAAGATCTTTGTCAACGCTTACTCGAGCTAGAGCAAACAATCCCTAAAGATTCACTATTTGAAGCTGGTGTATTTGATAAGCTTTGTGAAATGATACAGAATCGAAATGAAGCCAAGGTTATTCAAGACGTTTCTCGGTTGATTGTCCCTTCAGCACAAACTCTAGCCATATACGGCGCGAGACATCTCAAGGTCTTGGTTGAAAGTGTCAATGAAGGCTGGGATAACTCAGTTCCCATAACAAAACCGCGTCCGCAACCTGATTATTCTGTGGGCTTTGGACGTGAGGCATTCACAGATGAACAGTTGCGGAGGCTTCAGCCTTTTGTCGGCAATCTGACAGACACATCATACTTTATGGCGACATTCTATCTGTACTTCCCATTCCTAACTTGTGAGGTTAAGTGTGGTGCAGCAGCACTTGATATTGCAGATCGGCAGAATTCCCACAGCACCGCCATTGCAGTGAGAGCTATCATTGAGCTATTTAAGCTTGTGAAGTGTGAACAGGAGGTTAATCGAGAGATCCTTGCTTTCTCAATCTCACATGATCACACAGCAGTAAGGATCTACGGCCACTATGCTATTCTTGAAGAAGAGAAGATAAATATCTACCGCCACCCAATCCACAAGTTTGATTTTACGGCTTTGGATGGCAAAGAGAAATGGACGGCGTACAAGTTCACAAGGAATATCTATGATATATGGATGCCAACTCATTTAAAAAAGATATGCTCAGCGATTGATCAGATACCCCCTGATGTGGATTTTGACATCTCACAGTCGGAACTTCAATATTCCCAACAATCCAACGCCGAATCAGCGCTTGCACTCGACAATGAGGACAGCGAGCCGAGCCAGCTGGGCTATATTGACTCAGCAGGTGTTACACCGACCACCTCCTTCGCTGAACAAACACAAGTATTCAAAAAGCCAAGGAAGAAGCAATAGCACCAAGATCTTCACTTACCCTTTTCCATAGCCTTGGGTCATCTCCATCTGAGTCTTCCTCGCCTCGCCCCTGTGCAGCTGTCATCCTCCGTTTGTATCAAGTTCCTCGCTAAGAAGGTTGTTGGCACTGCCCTGAAAGATGGTGCTACTGCAATGCTCTCTGCGGCGACCAAGACAAGTCATTGAGATCTGACTTTGCCGCCTCCAAGGTCGGCGATGTTCTCAAAAAATCGGTTGTAGGCTGGACCGATCCTTCTCCAGCTGATACTGAGCCAACATACATAGTAACATGGGTTATAACGCCACCCAGAAAAACCCCTCAGATAATCTTTAGTTAACTAGTAAATATAATACGGAGCATGTAACTACACAGAACTAGAAGAATAATAACATGAAATGATATGACGAAGACTAACTCAGGGTCTCCGCCCTTTGTATTTTTCATTTTTTTCATTTTTTTCTCTCTCTTAATTCCTTTCTCCCTCCTCCTTTTTTTATTTTTATTTTATTCTACTTTTTTGGAATTTTTTTTCTTCAAGTTCGTTTACTACTACATCCTCAAGAATATGGAATGAACGACGCTTGAGTCGCCGGAGTATCCATGGAATTTATATAAATTGATTACATAAAGGACATCTAACTACGAAGGACCGCTGGCTGTTTCGCTTGAGTCCTGCAGCTAATGACCAACCCCGCCAGCAACCCAGGCCGCGAAATCAGGATCGCCAGGTCCGGGGAAGAGACCTCTATCCTGTTCCCTTTGCGGGTCAGCAGCGGCGTCGCCAGGAGCCGCGGGATTATCAATGGGCCGTCCCGCGTCATTTCCAACTCTAGCCCCATCACGCACAGCATTGCCATCTCTCTGGCCAACGCCTCGAAGCCCTCGTCGCTGTCGCACATACACGAGAACGATTAAAGTAGCTGCCAGTGCGAGGATTACAAGGCTATCAAAAATATCATCATCGATATCCATATCGAACTCGTCATAGTAGGTACTGTCATGATTACGTCTGGTAGGCTCTCCCCTGTCATCCGTTGCGGCGCCGTCTTCAGAAAGGATACCATCTGGTGCATCGGGATCGGATGGGTGTTTTGATTTGTGTTGGTTGAACTCTTTATCATCCTCTTCGTTGTAAGTGTTGAAAGCTTTAATCCATTCCTTCAATGATCGGTGGAGTTTTGCGTCTAGAGGGAGAAGTAGTTTCGTTAGCGGAGACCGAGCAAAGAATTTTCCTGGAAACAAACACAGAGGGTGAATATCGATAAACTACAACTGACCTGGCTCTGGTCGGATTGGATTAGCTTTTCCCCGCGTAATTCGATTCCAGAAACTCCTTATCCGTAACTTGATCAGGCTAAGCTTGACTGGCAAATAAGCTTCATCGTTCGTTTCAAGGGCTAGATCGTAGAATCTCTTCGCCATATGGAAATCCTGCTCAGTAGCATAACCGTTCTCATGCATCCAGCCTAGATTCCACAGCGCCTGGGCACTGTGATAGCCCTCCGCAGCCGAATGGTAACAGGTAAAGGCATTTTCAACCTCGCGCGGCGTTCCATAGCCGTGGAAATAATAATCACCCATTTTCACAAGGGAATCCAGGTTTGACTGCCTTGCGGAACGAGTCCAGTATATAAGCGCCAAAGCAGCATTTCGGAGTACAGATGGCCGGCGATTCTGGGGTCGGCGCATAATATAATCAAGTGGCAGAACCGATCGCTGCTCATCCAGCAAGAAGGCCACATTTGTCTGGGCACTCTCGTACCCCTGTTCTGCAGCCATCATCGATGCAACCAATGCGGTTTCTTTATCGTCATTTTCGTAAGCCGTATTCGCCTCGTGGAACGAGGAATGGATGACCTCTGCCTCTTCAGCCACCATTTTGTAGTACGCTGTCGCCATACCACAGTGGCGATCTTTTCCTATCCCTTGGTCAGCGATTTCAGCAAGATAATAGAATGCTTCAATCCAACGGTATCGAGCAGCTAGCTCAAAGTATCGAGTTGCGGTGGCTACATCGCCTTGGTCAAGGAATAACGCCCCGAGTTTGGTTTCAGAAGCCGGAAAGTCTTGCTCCGCCGCAGCCTTGAAATAAGACGCTGCTTTCATAACGTCTTGAGGTACGCCATATCCATCCAAATACATTATGCCTATGTAGTGCTGGCACATCGGATCTCCAAGCGCCCTGCCTCGCTGGAACCAAGTAATCGCCTTCGCGAAATGTTGATCAACCCCTTCCCCACGCAAGAACATGAGTCCAATATGTGCGGCCGCCTTAGCAGCGGTCTTTTCAATTCCCACGGGGTAGTTGGAGACAATTTTGCCGTCGTTTGTCCAGAATCTCTTGGCAACCAAGCCGAAATATTTCATGGCTTTCCTCATATTTCTTTTCAAGTTTCTTGAGCCATCATAATGCATCTTCCCCAACGTAAAAGTGGCCTTCACGTCACCCTTTTTCGATAAGAGATCCAAATATTCCAACACATCTTCAAGGTTTGAATCAGAACCTGAATGGTGGGACTCCTTATTTGCATTTGGACCGGAGCTCGAGACGCTTGCGCCCTCGCCGTACACACCACCTTCATCATCAGGCCAGCGATATGACTCTCTAGCCAGAATTTGGCCGCCGGGTGGGCCTGATCTATAATAAGTCATTGCTTGGTCGGCTACTTGTTTATAGTAATACGCCGCTTGGTCACAATTGCGAGGTGTTCCGATACCTAGATACCGGCGAAACGCGACAGTCATTTGAGATCTTATGTTACCTCCCATAGCCGCAAACGTATGATATAACAACGCTTTGCCTTGATGTCGTTCAACCGCCCCCCCTATCCCTGTCGCATACATAAACCCAACCATGTACTGCGCAGTGCTATTGCCTTCCAGCGTGGCAAGTGATTTATACAACTCAAATGCCTTGGGGTAATTTCGTGGATGCGTAAAATTCCCGTAAAAGTTCATTTCTGCTAGAAGAAACAATGCGTCCGGGTTGTCTTGGCTCGCGGCTTCTTGAAGCAGTGACACCGCCTGCTTAAGCTGAGGGGATAGTTTATCCGCGCGTTGTGTGTTGACGTTTATGGATGGACTATTCATGAATAATAAATAAAATGCCTCCTTCGCATAGTATATTGCATGTCCAAGGAAACCCGAAGGCCGATCACGTCTTTTGACAGGTATTTTCAGAGTATGGAGAATATCCCGCGCTGAATCAACAGCTTGCTGGCCTAAAATGAAAGTATACAGAAAAAATGTCATTAACTCGTTCAGCTTCTGTCACAGTATCGCGCATCCTCCGCAAATACAAACTCACCCCTGGCTTCAGCATTTCTCTTCTTCTGATCAGGCCTTAGCCCAAGCCCATGTGGAAGTGTGGTTTCTGGAGTCGGAGAGGTAGGACTAATATCTGTAGTCACTCGGGCTCCTGCACGCTCATCCTGAGCATGTATGGCCAATACCTGTAGTAATACTAAGAAGACATATCAGCGTCATAATTTGCGACAAAAGAATATGTGGGGGAAGGAGGCGGAGGGGGACTAACGAAGTGCTGTTGGCAGTAAATGCCACCTCCAAGGTCGCTTCATCATGCCTGCAGTCACGAAGGAATGAGTTTAAGGTTGCGTGCGTATCATTGCGACTCACACCGCCGGCTAAATGAAATCAGCTGTGATCGTGAGAAAGCGAGAATGTATTCCAAAAGTTGTTATACTGACGACACAGCAAGCTCTGAACACAGCTTGGGAGATCCTTTGAGCCACATAAACTATAACTAGTGGTTAACTCAGACGACGGCGGAAGCTTTGATTGGCTCGCCCTGTTAGTCCCGACCTCAATATCAAAGTCATCGCAAATTCATTCTGTTTGATCTCCCCAAAACAACGTCTTTTCAGTTTGAAGGAACAATACACTATTATCTATCCAGTTTATATAATGCACACGATATTGGGATCGAGACTGGTCCCATCGCTGCCCAAGTGACAAAAGTCATTGATCTAAAACTAAATCCGGCAAACCGATTCGGGCGCTCATCCCTGAGGAAGAATAAGAATGCTCAATTTTCTAGAAATTGCTTGTTTAATACAAGATGTCGGATTGCCAATTAAAGCCTGATGCTATCCCTCCAGAAATCATCCCATCTGCCAAAATCTATGGATTTACAAGAGTTGGCAGGATAAATAATAACCACTTAGCGTTCATGGAATCAACCTTCCTCTTCAGTTATTACAACCGATCTCAGAACTTCCATTGCAACATCCAGGTATTCAAAATATCGTGATCAATTGGCTTAAGCTGTTGCATCGTCACGCTCGCCTCCTGTGTTCTTTGAGTGTCCAACACCGGAGGCTTGCTTAATCCCTCACCTTGTCCAATAAAAGCACCACGAAAGAAGTCAAGAATCTTCAATGCAGGCTTATCCTGCAGATCACTCTGGGTTGGGTGTGTGATTTCTTCCAAACTAGCAATCCATTTTTGCGGATCAACTATCTTGACAGGGAAATGTTTCTCGATGGCTGGTATCAAGGATTCCCAGGCAGCAGGACTTGGATTAACGAGATGGAAGGCGGCGCAACGGACTTCCTCTTCATTTTGTCTCCTTGATCGGATAATATCGATGATTACCCCCGCGATGGTGTCCTATATGAAAAAGGGTTAGCTGGCTTATCATAAATATGAACGTCTGGTGGGCCGGGACAATGTGAAAATCAAGGAAAGTGTGGATAGTTTATCTAACGCACCACTGGAATCCAGTCCACTGTTATGCCTCCAAGGGATGAGGGAAGCTGTTTTATTGTTTTTGACGTTGCAACCAGGGATGGGAACCATTCTTGCTTGTTCCACATTCCTTTTTCTGTTGTCGGACCTCCGATTTGACCAACACGATGAATGCTGGTTGGGACACCACAATAGGAAGAAGCAAAAGCACAAATTCGTTCCCCAACATGCTTAGATTCTCCATATCCGGTACGCATCACGACATCAGCCTCTTCAAATATTTCTTCCGGAACATGTGTGCCACGTTTTGTGGTATTCCACCCTTCAACGGTCGAGATGGAGGATATGAAGTGAATATGTGCGCGATGAGTGCTGGCAATGCTAAAGTCGACAAGTCGACGGACTCCTTCGAGATGTGGTTGTTCGAACGCTTCTACTTGGTGGTTGAAATTCACTTTCCAAGCATTGTGAATTATTGTATCGACGGATTGAAGCAGCCGATCATAGACATCATTGGCAAGCCCAAGGCGTTCATCTCCAAACTTTGCGTGGAGAAATTCAACCCTGGAGGCGAAAGCGTTAGAAGATGACAACCCCTTCCCCTGAAAACTCTGGGTTTGTCTTTCTGCTGCGTCTTCTGAACGGTTCAAACAATATACCTTGGCAACTTTAGGATCGAGAAGGAGCTCGTGCAGCAAGTAGCTGCCGAGAGATCCGGTGGAGCCAGTAAGAATGATAGAATGCTTCTCGGCCAAGCCGGCAGTATATTTCTGTACGAGTGCCAGAAGCCTGGCAGATCTTGCGCTGTCATCCTCCACTCCGGCCCCGGCTTCGTCTATCATGGCTTTCCCGTGAACGAGATCGTACATATAATGTGAAAGGGTAGACACAGAAGGGTGGGAGTATATTTGCCTGCTAGAAAATGCATCATTACTTAACTGTGGGCAAATCGCCCGGACTGCACTTTGCAAGACCTGGCCGAGCTGCAGTGATTGGAGGGAATCAAGGCCCAAAGAAAATATATCGCTATGGTCGCCAATCTCCTGTGACGGAAGCAAGGTTGAAACTACAGCCTTCACTTGCACAATTATGTCATTTGGGCTTGCATCCTTGGAGATACTGATCGTCGCTTCGTTATCAGACTTGGAATACAATGACTCAATTTCATCTCTGTAGTCCTCAGTTACTATCCGTCGTTGAACAGTTCCTTTCGGTGTCGTTTTGAAAGGTTTTGAAGGAGACGAAAGACCTATTTTTGACTTCATTAGCCGGCCGTGTCCTGGTGCACCCTCGTTCGCCTTCTGCACTATTGGCCAGATTTCCTCAATGAATTCGTCTTCATCTCCTTTCCAATTGTCCCAGTCTAGCTCACAGAGGAGAGCTGCCTGGAACCGCCCTTGGCCTATAACAACAGCCTTTGACACTAGGGGATGTCCCTGGATAATAATTTCCATTGATGTCGGATTAAATTTTTCTCCGTTGCTGAGCACAATGACATCATCTCCACGCCCAATATATCTCCATAGGCCTGGCTTCCGCGCGTGCGGAGTAAAAAGGTCACCGGTTCGATATTCTGTGAGATCCGGGTACGTGTGGAAAACGCCGTGGACGTGCCTATTCGACTGGCGAGGAATAACTAACTCGAAGGTGCCATCCCCTTGGGCCCGCATGTCAACCGCGTAGAAGGGATTCCATTCAAAATATCCCCAATCTTCACGCTCTTCCGCCTTTAGAGATGCAACCAAACCACATTCGCTCGACCCAAGAACAGTCTGCAGGTGGGTCAATTTGCAAAGCCCATCCCCAATCTCGGGTGACAGCGGCGCTCCTCCGTACGCGATGTAATGAAACTTAGACAACGTTTTTTGTCCTACCTGGGAGGAATAAAGGTCTTCTAATGATGATGGCGGAAGACTCGCTGAAGTGCATTTTGTCTCTGTCACGATTGTGGCGAGTAATTCGGCCGTCATTGGCTTTTCCGGGCTTAATACGAACGGGGTCGCGGCGGAAACTGAAGCGATCACCGTAAGCAAACCCATGAAGTGGAAAAATGGACTCATTGTAAACGCCAGTTTTCCGGGTTCGCAGACACTGTAAACACTGCCAACTCGCCCAGGGGGTGTAGGCATAACTTGAACCCCCTTCTGTGCGGCGACGTATCCATGCGTAAGTAGAACGGGCTTGGGCAAACCTAGGTATGCATCGTTAAACACTGAGCATACAGTCACTCACAAACAACGAGATCTGCAATTTTCTAACTTACCTGTCGTCCCAGAACTATGAATGATGGCGGCAACGCTGTCCTCCACTCCTTCGGACTGTTTCACCCCTTCATACGGCAGGACTTCAGTATTGCTGAAAACGTCCCAAAGGTCCGGGACAATCCATGCCTTGATGCTGGAATCTGCTGCGCACAGTTCGTTTACTTGCCTCTCGCGTTCCACGCTGTAGACGAACTTCGAACATCCACTCTTTGCGAGAACGTGACGTGATGCTTCCAGCGAATTTCGGGGAGAGAGAAGCAATGGCTGAATAATCAGTTACCCTCTATTTGTTAGAGCTATCTCTGTCAATATGCATAGAATTTGGGGAACAGCCCGCTTACAATGTGTCCGACCTTGGTGCAAGCAAGAATAAAAGCAGCGTAGCGTATATCGTTTGCTCCCATATAAGCCAATGTCTCATGACTTGAACGAGCTGCCACATTATCTTCAATCCACCTTGCCATGTAATCTGTTGCGCCAGACAAGTCTTTCATTGTTACGTTGCGCCATCCCTGAGAGATGTCTGGGGATAGTGGGTGGATGCAAAATAGCTGGTTCGGATTGTTCTCCTTAAGATAATCAACCTCAGCTGACAGAGTGCGTATTTCAACGTTGGCGGATCCCATTTTGCAGTATACTAGGCAAATAGAAGTTTATTGTTCCCTTCAGGTAATTCATTTATAATAGTAATTTCGAAGAGATGGTAATCGGTTTCCTGCGCGGGGAGGACTTGATTCATATAGGTATCACACACCTCGAGCATAGCTCATCTGATCCTAGATCTGGAAGCTCCTGCAGGTTGCTATTGGTACAACCTACAATCACAGCCCAAATTCGGGCGGAATATGCCTTCTGAGTCGCTGGTATGTAAAAACAACGTTCGAAATACCATATTTTATAGGCCGTGATTGCACATTGCGCCCTATTTCCAAATTTGAGATTGGAAGATCCATGCAGCCCATTTATCAGCCATCAATGTCAACCAACCACGCACGAAATAAGAAACTCCGGCGCTATGGTGGGCTAGCAATTTCACATCATTGAACAAACTCTTTTCCAATATACAGTACGTGTATAACACCGTGGGCTCCCCGATTAGGCTTGATATAAGAAAAATGTTTGAATCAAACTTCGGGAGCTGCATTGATCGGTGTATAGGATGGAGGCAATTAACGTTTTCGCTCACCGACAGTATTTTTTCCACTTCGTTTGTATAACAATTATCTAGGTAATGAAGTTGTCTATCCTATCGGTAGGTACAGTACAATGCACACTGTAGCTCGCGAATTAACGAACTGGCAGGTTAACAAGCTGCTCTTCGTATTGCCAATGTAGTTCAACAGGTCAGCAAGATACTCAGCACGTTCACCTACTTTATCATGCTCATACCCGACATCGTATAGCTTGGAGTTGATACGGAGGATAGGTTAGTATGTAGTTTGCCTTCAAACGTCCATTGGTCCATCAATGACCCCAAGGACGAGTACCTGGGCTTGCCACCGTGGGTTGGGACTGCTGAGGACAAAGCTTCCTCACATCCGAGAAGTGAACAGACAAGACACCTGATGATTGCCGTGGGGAATTAACTACCAAGTTGTCGGTTCTGGAGCAAGCTAATGAAGACTCTGATCAGTTCGAACAAACCGCTGGGCCCGAATGTGTGGGCACAGTAGTGTACTCAGATAATCACCAAGTGTACGAGAAAGCCGCAACGCTTGACCCTTGTGCGATATTAAACTATTTTTCGCGGCTACTGAAGTTAGCTGTGGGATGAAGCGCTCGTCACGATGTCGTTTGAACCCCATGTTCCAATTCCCGTTTAACAACCCCTGTCAACACTGAATGGGCCACCTACAGAGAATAGATTCGGATCTAGAAGCGTGTGGTGAGTTGATGTATTTTCCATCGCATATTCAAAACCCTAAAAAATCGCGTACATTCCTCGACAAGTCCTGCTTGCTTTAGATCTTCGACAGCTCGACAAGCGGGTTGAGGGACCCTGCATCCCTGGTGCATTTCGAGTTTTGGTCCCTTGTGCTAGCAGCAGGACAGGGTGGCCCTTTTTGTACTCCATCATTTCCTTAACCAGAAAGAGAACTTTCCACCAACCAAACTGGAAGGTGCTAAAACAGAGCTTGTGTGATGTTTCCGGAGAACTGGACTTTGCCACTAGACCACAAAGGAGAAAGCCCCTATTAGCAGGGTCATAAGTCCACAACTTCCTGCCTCGGAATCTAAGTCCCCTTCGGATATGTAGTGATGAATTGCCGGGCCAGATGTGTGATTAAATGGAGAACTGCCATTGAACTTGCCGCTCATGGCCAACAGAGACCGTGTGGGAAACCACCTGTTCTCGGCCAAGATGAGTGCGACACGAAGTTCATACTTGTTCAACTCCACCACGGGACCAAAATGCGTGTCGCATGCGTCGGTCGATAATGTATGCGGTAGAGAAGGTACTGTGCATTGTGAGGTATAACAACAGACGACCCTAGCATACTGTCCGTATATTGAGTCTTCGGGGGACTGCCATGACTTCTAACACCTGTAGGAAACAGTTGAGTCCATGCAAATTGGCAAGACTTTAAATATGAGAGGATAAGTGGCGCACTCCCAGAGGGTTTTACAATCCAGAGGCAGGAAGAGATGCGGGGGGAAAAAAAAAAAAGAAAAAAAAAACCCAGAGAATACAGCAGAGGTTCGGATAGTGCCTCTTTAGTGTCCAGCGCGAAGCTGACCGGATCAACCAACCTGTTGAAGTCAGGAATATATTTTGTATGCCTCACACTTTCACCGCGCTTCCCGCAAGGATGTTCCAAGGCAGCGACCGATCTCCTGCTGCTGATCAAGGTGGTTGGCGGTTCGCTGGCTCAAAGTGGCGCTTTGTTGTGCACTGGCTTGCTATTTATCGGACGTGCGGGCCGTATCGGGCTCGGCTTGAGGTCGACATGATGGTGCTTTGCAGTTAGCCGATATTTGCTGAGACGGCGCCCCTTGGCCACGAAGGTTGGATCAGGGAACCCGTGTGCCTAAATTGGGTTGAACCCGGGTTTCCGTGGCTAGCTGCTGCGTTTGTGGACTAGTGCTTGCTGAAATGCTGTGTGAGCAAGAACCCGGACAATGACAAGATAAAATACCGCTGTTTAACAGTGTATTAAATTATGAACTCAATGATATACATAAGTAGACAGGGTAGTCTAGATGAGACTGCTAGTACTATTGAATATACTCCTCAAAGAAGGGCAAATAATTCATAATATACTAGCAATTAACAAATTTTTCCATATAGTTGTGAGTACTAATAGAAAGGATATCTCGGAGAAGCGATTCTGTAGGTGATAGATACTAGTATCATCAAGTAGTTGAGCTTGGAAAAGAGCGAAGCCTGATATAAACTCTCGAGAGAATCTATGGATGATAAAAAGATGGTTTTCTTCCTTGGTGCAGAGTTCATTCAATTTGTAGCCACGACTACAATGTCCATGTACTGTACAGTACTATGCACAGAGCTGCTTAGGCGAAGCCCGGAACTCTAGGTCCGCAATCAATTTGGTCTGTTCGATCCGGTTCGGTTGGGTGGAGTGTGTACAGGGCCAGATGCCTTAGCGCTTGAGAGCGACGACTGCTGGCCTTCAGGCTGGTAAAACGTTCGACCGATCAGTGTTCTGGTGTGATATTCTCGTATCCATCTCGCTGCAGAAAGTCGTAGGATAAATGGTTAAAGCTGAACTTGAGGAATGCCGCAGGAGGGTTTGTCGTGCCTCAGGAGCATTGCCCTCCACAGGCCATCCGTGGTATGTATGATGCCGCACATCATTGCCCCACCCCAGAACAGTCTCACTAGCGCAATCAAGCTCCAGGAACTTAGGAGAAGACCCTGGCTAGAGCTCAAGTCCCTGCGTACTTTCGTGATCCTGGCAGACCACGCAAATTCCAAACTCCCATAACTACCCGCTACTACTACAAGGAGATCCAACGAGCTAGAGATAGCCGCTTCTCAACGGCTCTTCTCGTCATTTGAGATGCTAGCTTCACCCGTTGTGGCTAATAGCGGGCAGGTTTAAGTGGTGCATGCATGGATGGCCAATTGTTCGCCCGAATGAAGATGCGAACTCGTGGACATTAGACATGAAACAACCAGCCAGTCCCTCTGAAAACACCAGTTGCCCGAATGGCAGACAATACCCGCTCCAATCGGAAAGGTGTTATGTGGCGGCTTGGCAAGGCCTAGAGTGGAAATAGCTTTTCGCAGTTGCGGGGAGAATGACATGCTGAGATGCCTTGGAAGAGACAATACCACAGACACCCACTTCATCGCCCTCTTCCGATTGCCAGGGTTGCATTTCGCCGTTACCGACGTCTGTGTTTCTCTTCTCGGGCCCAATTCTAGTATCTATGATGCTCACCTTAGACCCGAGGTTCGTGGCTGGTCCTTGCTCCGTTCGTCATCGTTATCGCCCCCCCGCGGCGGCTATTTTACCGTCCTCATTCCCCAAGATAGCTGAGAGGGTATTTTCCTCCACAGAGGATATTGTTTAATATACATACCGTCAACATGGGAAGTCACCCTGTACGATCACATTCCATAATGTGATCGGGGGTAAATTATCCGCCAAGGAACAAACCCGCCATGGCATCAATCCAGCAACCGGGGAACCAAATCCTGATGTTCCAGTCTCTACTCGCGCCGATGTTGACCGCGCTGTCGAGGCGGGAATCGCTGCATTCAAGAGCTGGTCCAAAACCCCATACGAGGAGAGGGAAAAAAGCTCTCCTGGCCTTTGCTGATGCTGTGGGGGAATATTCTGAGGACCTCACCAAATTGCTCGTGAAAGAGCAAGGGAAACCGGTACTGTGCCCCTTTCCTGCCAGATATTTTTACCAACCCGAGGATGCAAATGGGAGTTAACGCTTTTAATTTTTTTTTCTTTTTCTTTTTATCGTATATAGGCCCAGTTTGCCGCCGCGGATATTCAGTCAGGAATTGCCAGTGTTAAGGCCACTGCCAACTTTGAGTTGAAGGATGAAGTTCTCGAAAACAACGAGGACAGAGAGTTGATTCCCCGCTATACGCCATTGGGTGTTGTCGTTGGCATTGTCCCATGGAACTTTCCTGTTATGCTCTGCCTGATCAAAATCGCACCGGCTCTTCTTACTGGGAACACAATCATTGTTAAACCTTCACCGTATACTCCCTATTGCGCACTGAAACTTGCCGAAATTGGCCAGAAGTTCTTCCCCCCTGGTGTCCTCCAAACTCTTAGCGGTGATGATAATCTGGGACCCTGGTTGACGGCCCACCCTGGACCAGCAAAGATTAGTTTCACAGGTTCAGGAGCAACTGGGGGGAAGGTCATGGAGAGTGCAAGCAAGCCACTGAAGCGAGTTACTCTTGAGCTGTACGTTAGGGTTCATGTTCTGCTATTTGTGGTTGAAATGTGTATCAGGCTAAATTCTTTCTACCATTATAGAGGCGGAAATGACCCTGCAATTATCTGTCCTGATATCAATATTGAAGCAGTGGCAGCAAAGGTTTGCATTTCCATGCCAAATTCTACTTGGCAGGCTGTCTTTGCTAACTGGCAACCCCTAGGTCGCGCTGGCGGCATTCTTCAATTCCGGACAGGTATGTATTTTGGAACCATATGACTCTATACCCATCTATCAAAATTACTACTTCCCAAGACTCACCATGTCGTATTTTAGGTCTGTATCGCAGCGAAACGAATATACGTCCACGAGTCCATCTATGAAAAATTTCGCGAAGCAATGAGTGTCGCCACGGCGAAGTTGGTTGTGGGTGAGGGTAATGAGGCCGGTGTGATGGTTGGCCCCATCCAAAACTCTATGCAGTACGAGAAAGTCAAGGAATTCTTCACGGATATTGAAAAGGAAAAGTGGACCGTTGCTGCAGGCGGAAACGCCGAAGTTCGGAAGCCAGGGTACTTCATCCAGCCCCACCATCATCGATGTGCCACCTGTTGAGTCGAGGATTGTTGCAGAAGAGCCATTCGGTGAGTTATATTACAGTTATGCATACACCCCGTTTGCCCTTTTTGTTATTAGAGAAACCATAAAGGCCACGAAGCTTCTCATCCGTCTGCGTTATTATTCTACTGTTTTCCTTTCAATCTTCTCATCTTTGGCCCCAATCTTTTCATGCTTTGCTTTATTTTGATTATTCCGAATTTTACAATTGCCTTAAAACGAAACATCAATTAACCGGCTTCTCCAGGCCCAATCGTGCCCCTCATCCCCTGGAAAGATGAAGCAGCGGTGATCGAAGCCGCGAATAACACCAAGATGGTGTTGGGCTCATCCGTCTGGTCCAACGACCTGGACCAGGCACGACGAATCGGGAAACAGCTTGAAGCTAGCAACGTATGGATCAACGCACACCAGGAAGTCAGTCCTATTGTACCATTCGGCGGCCACAAGGAGAGCGGTATTGGCTTTGAGGGCGGCCTCGACGGCCTGAAGAGTTACTGCAATGCGCAGGCATTTTATATCAAGAAGGCTAAATTGTAGAAGTAAATTGTAGAAGTGGATCTCGGGGTGAGGGTTGGGCAACGTTCCTGTTATTCTCGTGATGGCCGATGGAGTTGAGGGGGGAAGGCCTATCGTATAGATTATCGTTGCTAGGTGCAGTCGTGACGACGGCGCTGAATGAAGATGTGCTTAGCCCATGAACCATGAATTGCGAGAGCGGAGTTCTTGAGCAGTACCTACCGTACGCCTTTTGTTGCAATTATAACCTTTATCTAGTCCTGCGCTCGACTGTGAATGATTGCCAGCAGCTTTGAATGTGTGGAATGATAACCACGAATATTCAAATCGCGTCATGAAATAAATCGATACTCTTTGCATATCGTCCAGAGTAACTTGTGTTCATTTTCCATTGTCGTATTCTTGCGCTCGTCACGATCTCACCCATCCCCATGGGTGTTGACACAGGTATATATACAAACCATCAACCAAAACCTCTCCGTACCTACTCAGTATCGCCCTCTAAGACAGAAGGGATAGTTAGGTCGGGATGGAAGAACTTTTCTCTGCTTATTTTATCTATTCGTGAGCCACGGAATGAATGCTTTTCTTTCTTTCTTTCTTTCTTTCTTTTAAAGTTTCGGCAAGGGAAGGAAAGTAAAAGTGATCTCGGCATCATTTTATACAACGCACCTAGTTTACCCGTGTCCCTGCGATTCCAAATAAAAATCATTCTACTAATAACAATAATTCGAACATTCCAAGGCCCTTCCTTATCATTTGGGCCATCTCCTCCGCGGCCCCTCCTCCTTCCACCAATCCTGCAGTGGTGGCCATTTATTTCTATACGACACAATCCAACGATACGGAGAAAAATAAGGCAAAAAGGCATATTAGACCGAGCAAGCATGGTATACCTACTAGTTACACCTAGCGCAAAGGGCAACGATCCTTGTATACGTATGTACTGTACATGTACATGTGCTTCCCGCCTCCTGCACCCATCCCTGCGTACCTGTACCTACATTAGTTTTTCACTCTGCCCGGTCTTGCATGTCAAGGTGAGGATTTTGTTTGGTAGGCGGGCGGCACTAGCCCCGTTAGCACGCGAGTGTGCGAAGAAAGGGCTACTTTTTTTTTTTTTTTTTTTTTTTTTGCTGCGCTAGGGCTCGTAGAAGAGCGGGTAAGTTTTTGATGAGTTGGGCTTTTAAGAGATTTTTTTGAGGGATTGGTGAGAAGATGTGTGTGGAGAGAAAGTGAAGGGTTAGAAAGTTTCAAAGTATTCTATAACCTAGTTATTCGGTGGTTATGATTTGTAAGTTTCTATTGTCGACTTGATGTTGGGCTTTAAGTTCATTAAATCTGAATTGAAGCGGATATCATTGGTTATGCAATCCTCCCAATTAATAACTGCTGTCGTTTCGTTTCTAATTTGTTGTTATCATTCATCATTGGGTTGCTACCGAAAAAGAGGAGAATGAAAAGAAATATAAATAAACTTTTAACTCCCTGCCCTGTTAGGGCGGCTGAAAATCGAGAGAAACCAGCATTTGCCACCGTTTTTATGGGTTGTGATGAGGTAAATCAAGTTTGGACGAGGAAACCTACACATTGGAGCAAAGATGGTCCGCCATGAGCGGAAATCGTAGTAACGGAAGGTAGGATGTGCGCGGAGGGGGAGCTCTGGGATTTAATATGGTTTGAAGCCGCGGTCCTTACGTCGCTTCTCCCGATGGGCGCCATCTTTCGATCGATGCTTTTTCGTGTGGACATTCTCTGGGAGAGTGCGCTTGGTGGATGGCTTAGACAGCTCTTCTTGACGTCCTTCCTCAAGCTTCCACGATCGCACGTATCCATCCTCCCCACATGTGAAAATGGTATTCGACTAGAGGTTTATTTGTTAGGTCGTGTTAGTCAGATTGTAGTTTGAGCAGGCTGGTTGAGGTACTATAGCAAAAATACATCGACGAATTTGTACTTTCGTACATACATTATCATCCAGAAATACCGATCGAACGATTTCTTCGCCGTGAGCATCTGGAATCCTCCAAGTACCCCCGATGTCGAGGTCAAATTTGGGTGACGAAACTAAGGGCGTGAGGTCGAGTCGTTGTTCACTTGAATGGACGAGTCATATGAGAGGTTAGGTCTACCCCGCAAAATTACAGCGAAAAGCATAGATGTTTTCCACGAAGAATCTATTTGTGGGGGAGAGCAGAAGACAAGCAAACGGGGAGAGCCAAATTCAAACCTCGTTTTCCCAGATACCACAAACGCGCCCCCACGCCCATGGAGAACTTGCGCCACATAATCGCTCTGTAGTACAGGACGGAGATCGCCAAACTGAATAGCTGCGGGCTCTACAGCGTTCTCGTCGGGGTTGTTGAAAGGGTGGATCGAGAAAACCTCGTCATGGCTTAGAGCGTAGATGGCGTGCTCCGCCAGGAAACCGGCTCGATGTATGGATCCATGGTTTACAACCTGTAGAAGAGCCTCGTCTTCATCCGAAATTGTGGTATCGTAGATGTTAACTAGCCCATCAGTGCTTCCAGATAATAGGACGTTATGTCGTGTAGGGTGGAATTGCAACTACGAACGCATTAGTGGTGCCTTGGGAGAGATTTGCACAGCCTGAGTCAAATCCCTTGGGGGCTTGCGGACGAACCGCAGAAGCCTGGAACCAACATGTAGAAGGGAAATGGAAAGAAGTTGGGTGTGTGGAACGAATGGGAGAAGCGAATGGAGTTAATTACTTCAGTTATATCGTCGTTATGACTCTCGACATATTGAAGACAGGGCTGGCCCGGAGATCTGATGTCCCTGGGAAAGGTCGGTTAGCAGATCCGAGGAGAGGTGGGACAGCCTCGTACGTGCAGTAAAATGCATGGGAGGGTTGGCGCGGTAAGTCACTTCTGGGTCCCTCGCACGAACGGTGATAGCTGAGGGGAATGAATTGATGCAAGTATGTTCCAGGAAAGTAACAAAGAACTGGTGGTACCGAATCCGCGTCCGATGCAAGTACGTGGCTTCAGGCTAATTGCATTAAAAGACCAACAAACTTACCAACATATAACAGAAGATTGAGATGCCACGAACTCAGTCCCGGCGACGATGGTGCACGGTCCTGGGCCACAGGTAAGTGCGGTGATGGGTGCCGCCTTAGCTAAAGTAGGGCAGATCAGCACACAAACAATATGTGGAGCTTTTGTCATAAATACTAGCAACAGACATTTTTTGGGCATAGAGAAGTATGAGGACGAATATCCAACGCAACATCCACGACAAACCCACATTGAAGGTGGATGTAAGGGACCAGGACAAGGGGATAAAAGGAGAGAGTCAGAGGTATCAAAATGAGAGCCGCGAGGGGACGAAGTAGTTCCATGTTGCTCTGCATGGGCATTAGTATCTTACCTGAAGTGGCCGTCAGAACTGCATCTCTTCTTTTATCCCTAGAATCCCACAGTTTCACTGTCCCGTCTCTGCCGGAGGTAGCAACCAAAGTTTTCCCTTCAGCAACAACGGGATCAACTTCGCAGACACAGGTCACCCCACCGCTATTACCAGGATGAATGTTTGCGAACACCCCATTCGGGAGGACCTTTAATGTCTCGCGATCAAAGCGTCGCAGCGAGTTATCTGATGAGATCGCAGCAAGCGCATCAATGCCACTCTGGCACAGAGAGTAGATGTAGCTCCCAGCCGGAAGGGAGAGAGATGACTGGCCTTTCCCGTGCAACAGTCGATATTGTGATGGAGAAGCCATAGGACTTGGATTAGGGATGGTCCTCGAGATACAGATACAGTGTGGTATGGTAACCTGTTCATCTATCCGCTCATTGATGTCCGCGGTGGTAGTTGGTAGAACATCATAATCAATTTTTGAGCAGAAAATATTTTTTCCTCGAGATTGCTAGTCCAGACCGTCAGAAGATTCCAACGAAAATTAAATGGAGACCATGGTATATCCAACAAGAGGTCCACAACTCTTCTTGTCAGAAAACATTTACCCTTCCAACACAGACACCCAGGATAGCTCTCTCGCCCTGGGGGCTTTGGATACTGGGTAAGTGTGATGCTGTTTGCGCTCATTTGCGGCGTTTGTCCATTCATGCCAGGAATACCTCCGTATGGTATGTACGCGTACCGTACGTGCGGGTATCGGTGTTGAAATCGAAACAACCTAAACACGGAGTGTAACTGACACGGGCAGAACAGAACTTACCGTATTGTTGCCGGCCACGACCCAATTGGATAGTTCCAAGGTTTTTATGGCTCCTGCACGTCGTTTCCCATGAGCTAAACCAGGCCACTGGGGCCATTGGGGCCATTGGCGGTCCGTCGCAGCTAGTTATACGCTGGTGATCCGACGCTCTGGGACGGAAAGCCACCCCCCAAGCGAGCTCCTCCGGCATGGCCAATGACCGTTTCCTGTCAAATGCGCTAGGGGTTAGTCCTGAGGGAACGTCGCATCCCGAGAGCTGTGTGGATGCACCGGTGTGCGCGAGACTAGTAGTTTCATTCAATGATACAAGGCATGTGCAGTATTTCGTATTTTCGCATGTACCAGCAGGATCCACTGATTACATAGTACTACTAGTATTCATCGAGCTCCTCTCATTTGTCGTTGATAAAACACCCAGAGTGCATCCAAGGGTTCCTCAACTTCCTTTCCAACGTCAACTTCAAAGCCCCAGCAAGCCGTGTAAGGGCGGAATGCTAAACGAAGAGCAAATACGATTTGTCCTCCCAAGACTGAAAGGATCCATGACTCTAGAATTGTCACCCACTGGCAAGCGAAGGGAAGAAATGAGCCGCTGCATCAAAACAAATAATCCCGTACGATTGTGTCACGGAATTGCCACGATGTCCCTCGTTCGCAATGCAAGGGGGTTTCACCGTACTCCGAAGCAACCAGTCACAGTCGATATATCGCGAGCAACCCGGTCAAGACAAACACAACACTGGCATGAATAATATTCGCTAGGCCCTTTTGTTTTTCTGTGGGAAAAAAGACTAAGCTCCAGCAAGGCAATATGCGCCATCTTACGGTGTGGTGTGCCTTTTGACATGGCTCATAACCTTCCTGTGCGGTACATCGACACGACATACAATCCTCCAAAGCATTTGATGAGACTTCCACTTACAATTTACGAGTTATTCTAGCACCCACCATTCAAGGCCTTGTCTAAAGCCAACATAATAGTATGTGTATAGGTGCTGCTAGTACTTTGAATCAACGGCATGCGTCTACGATTGAGTTTAAAAAACGTTGGCAGCCTCAACGGCTATTATAGAAATAACATTTTCCAAAACAAAACCGGCAACTGAGAAATAAATAGTGACCAACGCTGCGTTTCAAGACCCCTTTGCTCAAGAGTCCAAGTTGACTTTGAATTGAATCCATCTTCACTTGTCAAACCATCCCAATTCGATAGTTAAAGGACCCAAGATCCTGCTTATTAAGAATCGGACGGATCAAATTCGGAACCTTATTCAAGCGCCCAGGTAACTGCTAACTGCTCTCTCCGTGTTAGTTACCATGTAGCCACTCGACGGGTCCACGGGTTGAGGTACGGTGAACTCGTCCAATAAAATGACCAAGACCATAACGCTGTTGCCGAAATACCCAAACTCTATTGGAGACTTCGCATGATCGTCAGTCGCCGAAAAAGGCTACTTTGACTTCCGGCAGACTCCACCACGCACCGCGACCAACCATGACATCCCGTCAGCGCCAAGTCGAGCCCATTATTCATAGTTTCATACCGACGCCATGCTCTGCTAGGAGAGCGGCACGCCCGCTATTTTGGGACTTGGGAGCAGCAATATAATGAGTGGAGGTCTGTGCCAAACCAAATTTTGGTTAGATCCCGGCGCGGAACTAGTACGTAGTATGCTAACTAACCTAACTTTTGGCCAACAGGAAAACCCCCCACCAACATTGAAATTCGTCAGGTTGAGTCCCTGATGACATGCTGACAATCACTCAGAGATCCATTATTGCCTGGCACATGTACTTTCCAGACGAAAAGCCGCCCCTACCGGACGTGCCTTCCAAGAATTTGAAGGTACTGTACGCACAACTTAACTATGTCAGAACATTTCGGATTTTCTATGAGGATTTTCGCGAAATTTGTGCGCCGACGCAGTGCTCAGCATGTTGGAGTAGGTTTCCCAGGTTCATACTGCGCAGAGCGCACTTGAGCGAGAGAGTTCAGCCTGTCAATGGGTTGACAAATACAACCATCCCCGAAGACCCCGAGTATCCTTTCCAGAGTTAAAATACTATGATCATTAAATATACGGTACTAGCAAGAAGCCAAGAAAGGGTGTGACATTACTGTACAAGCTCCGACCGATAACCACTCTGCCGGGATGGGGTCACCGCCTCCAGTTCGCATGTGACCTTGTTTTACGGGATCTTTTTATGGTTGCAAATTCCCATTAATTGAGTCATTGTTTTATTTCGTTTTTATCCTCGTTTTCGTTGCTTTTACTTTGCTGGAAAACGAAGGGTTGATATTACGAAGAGAAACTTAAATAGCCATATTAACAAACTCCATTCCCTTCACGAGGCACCATGATGCATATCCACTATTGAAGTCGTTGGTGTAGTTGCAAGGAGGTGAGTTACAGGGCATACATTATATTCCATGCCATTGGCAAACTACTGCGTACTCAAGCAAGCAGCAAGTTGATTGATAGAGCTGAAAACCTCGGTTAAGTGAGCAGCTGCAGTTCATCCTCCCTTGGCTAGCACGCAAGTTGTTTGTTGATAATGGATGGAGGTGAGCATGAAAGTGATTGACAAATTATATGCTGCCACTGATTGGGTTATCATTTACTTTTTATTGTCTCTTCAGCTAACCCCTGCCGTTGACTGTTTTGTTCTCTTGTGATGGGTTTTCACCTCCAGGCAGGGTTTAATAACTGATCGGGGCAATTCACCACCAACAAACCATCAGTCAGGATTTCAATCATTCAGTTCACAGGCCCCATCAGCTTTGCCTCTTGCAAATTCCCCTTTGTCAATTTGTATTTTTTTTTTTTTTTTTTTTTTTGTTTTGAATTGTCAAGAAATGGCCAGTCCTTGTGAATTGTCTTGACCTTTGGTCTGGCACACGCCAATACCGCTTACCAATACGATACCGTACCATACCATACCATACCACGCGCCCGTCCTGGCTTGCAGAGTCCGCCGTACCGAATCGTACGGGCCATCCCACCTTCTCGCCGCAACACCTCCAGGCGATGTGATGGGACCACCCTTCCCGCCAGCCACTGCCCGCCGCCCAAGCGCCCAAGGACCGTTCAATTGGCATTTTAGCCCTCGGCTTCCCTTCTACTTATTTTTTCCTTTGCTTCTGCCCAGATTAGTCCACTGTCCTTGCCCCCAGCGGTGTTGCGAACAGCTGCCCCTCTGCCCGACGCCCTCCTCGAGACATCGCCGATAGTAAAAAATATCATCCGTGTGCCGCTTGGAATAAAGGGCAACCTGCAGTAACATATCCCCAGGGCTGATCTGCAAAGCCTTCGTCTTCTCCTCAATCCGCTGCCCCAGCTTCTACGCCGCCCGTCTCCATCCTGGTCCTCGTCCTCCTTCTCGTCCTCCCCGTCTTCCTCTCCCATCTCCTTTCTTTCCGTTCCCTCCCTATCTTGTCGTTCGCTGGCATTGGAAGCAACCCAAAGTTCGCATTTAAACTGTCGTCTTCATCCCCCATTGGGTGGCATCCACCCTAGTCAACTACTATGGACCTCTCAGCGCTCACCGATCTTGCACCGCGAAGGCAACCCCAAACAAAACCCGGCTTTGGCTCTCCGAAAAACGAGACACATGGAAGTGCAAACCCTACGTAAGTTTATTGTTACTCTTCTCCATATGCCATATTTCTCCTAGAACCCACTGCCTGCAAGCCACTCCCTTTCCATTACGAAAACCTCCTTGAGGCATCATAGTCGTAAATCGTTTCTCAATTTCCCCCAATGGGAATCTAGGATTGACTGTTTGTCCATTCCTGACAATATGTTCCAATCAACGCAGGCACACGGAAGAATATCCTTGTTACGAGGAGAATGGACGACTGTATCATGGATTTCGGCGAGGCATATATATGTATCCGTGTGATGAACTGGAGCGAGATCGTCTGGATATTTTCCACAAGGTATTTTTAGTGGCTCGTGGGAATGCGCTACACGATGTTCCAATCAGCAAACCATCTCCGATTCTGAGTAATGCTGCGGGAGGGCCGGCAATAGGCACCGATCACGGCCCTCGAATACTGGATCTTGGCTGTGGAACGGGAATGTGGGCAGTGGAAATGGCGTCAAGGTACCCACATGCGTACGTGTTGGGAATCGACCTGGCGGCGATGCAGCCGCACGAGCACCCACCTAATTGCGACTTTCAGACACCTCGGGATTATGAGAGCCCTTGGTTTTTGGGAGAGAATTCTTGGGATATGATTCATCTCCAAATGGGATGCGGAAGTGTGTCGAATTGGCCCAATTTGTATCAAAAGGTTATACGACATCTGCGGCCTGGCAAAGGATACTTCGAACAGGTGGAAATCGACTTCGAACCGCGATGCCACGATGAGTTCCCAGCCGATCAGCCGTTGAATCGGTGGTATTTGAATCTGAAGGACGCAACAGATCAGGCCAATCGGCCGATCGCACATAACCGCAGCACAACGCATATGTTGAAGGAGGCAGGGTTCGTGGATATAAAGCACTTGATGTTTGGTCTGCCGCTAAACACATGGCCGGATGACAAGTACGAGAAGGAGGTTGGGAAGTGGCATAATTTTGCTTTTACGGATAGCACATATGCACTCATACTCGGGCCCCTCAGCCGTGTAAAAGGTTTTTCTCTTGAACAAATTGATTCATTAGCCCAAGAAGCTCGAGCGCAGGCGTTTGATAAGCGCCTCCGGGCGTTCAATCTTCTGCACATATATACAGCCAGGCGGCCAGAAAACCCAGTCCGATGAAAGGGAGCCCTTGCGCCCAGTTCTACCAGCCCAAGATCTGGATAAAACATAACCTTCATTTCACATGTCGGTGGTTTTTCCTCCCAAGCTGCGTTTTGAGTGGCACAACCTGGGTTCTAAGGATATTTAACCCAATGTCCTGATAAATAGCGCTGCAGCCTCTGAAACGTCGTGGTCGTCTCGAAGCTGTCGAAACTGTTGTATTCCGTTTATAACGGCTGAAACCGCCGGCGGCGGCCCATGATAGGGGGGTTGTCGTAAGCGCCCTTTCCGGTCCAAAACCCTCTTAAATCCTTACGCTTGTCGGTGAGAAACACCAGTAGCATATCGGAAAGGACCTCGAAGAAGTTAAGTATGCAACACAAATATATCCTTGCCCAACATCCAGGATATACGAATGCGATTCCGAAATGCGCAAACATCCATAATTCATGACCCGATCAGACGACGTTGCAGCGATGAATTCCCTTCACGCTTTCCCTTCCTTGTTTGGTTTGGTTTTCTCTTACGACCGCAACATCTCTAGACGTTTCCTGAGCTTATATTTTTTGTTTATTTCGCTTGTCGAAATTTTTCCGCATGTGATTTTGTTGGTCGCGCCGCTATTGAGCCTTGTACTTTTCCACTTCCATCCGCTTGCTCCACATCCCCACCGCCTTTCTCCCATTCTTTCTTACTCCGCTCGTCAAGTTGTTTCACGGCATTCTCTCCCGCATTTCTGGGCATGAATGGGATTTCTCAATAACGACGATATAAACATAGATCGGAAAGACATCAAAAGCATCGACTGAGAACCATTGTGAAGCTTTCTCTTATTGTCTGTATCCACCTGCCTTCCTTTTTCTTGGTTAGGGCGATATAGCAACCTCGTTATGATCGATGATGAACGATTGTCTAGCTTCATATCTCTCTCTCAGGCTCTCGTCTCTCACATTTTGTTTCGATGACCCATACACACTGTTTCAACAATGCTACTTTTGTTATTGTCGCGTATATATACTTCTATTTTCGCCTTCTCTCTCTCTCTCTTCCTTTTCTTTATTTCTGTTATCCCCCCCTTTACCTAATCGACATAAACTATTTTTTATTTCCCATATATGCATATATAAATTTCCTATCTCGTCACATTTTTTTTTGACTACTTTGTCCTAAATTCATTGTCCAAGCGTTTTTAGCACTTGTTTCCTTCCAACAATTGCAGTTATTCAAATATCGCGGATGAAGAGTGGAATGGGAAAATATAAAATCAGCGGAAAGAGAAAGAGAAGTCTCTTCTTTTAACTGACCAGATCGATACCGCCTGATTTCCACTTATTTTGGTCGTTCCCTACTTCTCAACGGAAAACGGGGAAGGGGGAGGAGGAGAAAAAAACCCAAAAGCGGCCCCGACATTTTCCATCTTACCTAGCCCCCTTTTCACTCACTGTTCAACTACCCAATCCGTCGCGCGAGCTCTCTCTGTTCCGCGCTTACAAACCTGTCTCTCGTTTTCGCCCTCTCTTCCATTGTTTCCATCAATGTCAGCCCCCAAGTTCCGTCCTGTGGTTACTTTAGTGGAAGAGCAAGAGTTGGAATATCTAATCATCATAATAACTAGTGTAAGATAATAACAAATAATATTGACAATGCAGGTGATAGCAAAGCCAGCCCACAACACAACACTTCTCTCTTCCTTTCCTTTCCTTTCTTTTTCTCCTTCCTCTTTGTTCGCAGGGACCCGAGGGGCCGGATACGGCGCCGCGAGAATTATGGGATCGGGATCGTAAAGCTGTCAGCCCTCCTTGCTTTCGCTCGCTGGCGCGACAAGACGTTCGCGGTGATCGGCCGCCTGTTGTAGTCTATTTCATTTGCACCCCTTACCATGTACTGTATGTACTGTGCTGTGCTCTGCTGTGCTGTGCTGTGCATGTACGCTCAATTGAGCACAGATTAACACCGTTGCATTGGGACGAGGGGTTATATTTTGCCCTGCCATGTATTGAAGCCCATTGCAATGATGCATAAATAATAGCCTGTCCGTTTTGTTTTCTTGTTGGGATGAGGATAACCTTGTAGTGATATAATATGTAGATTTATATATATATGTTTGTGTGTGTGTGTGTGTGTGTATACATGGTGTGAGGTCGTCCGTGCACAGTTGGGGTGATTTGTTTTCGTTCAGCTTCGTAATTGATCTCCTTGGTTATTGCAAAGGGCTTTCACGAGAATCACATTACAAATGGGAAATGGGCTTTAGACTCCATTTAGAGATAAGGAGATATGGTAGTTGGATATTGATCGCTAAACTGCATATTCTGTTACGGAGAACACTAGACTCGTGAAATGGTGGATGGTGAATGGTGAGTGGTGTCAACATAGCTAAGAATTCACCCTGAAAACCGGCAAGCATTTTGTTTTCAAACAGCAGAATTAAGGGAGACACTGTGAGCCCCCAATATAAAAAATATATATATATATATAGATCCCATTGGCTTGGGACACTAACATCTCGAGCTGGATTTCACCACAGTTCACATTATCATTATCATTGTCATCAGAATTCTCTGGGCCATTACCTCCGTCGCCCCTTATTTTGAGCACGCCCCACCACGTTATTCGTAACAGGAGCGCCTCCAGTCTCACCGCCATTGCTAGCGCCTGTGTTATTGACTGGATCCTTCCAAGCACCAGGGCTTCTTCGCCGCATCGTTCCAGGACCCACAGCCACAATGTCATCCTCGCTTTCACTTTCGCTGATATCGAGTAGGACAGGCATGCGGAAAGCATGCAAAGTACCCCCAGCGTCTCCCTCTTCACCCTTGACCGGATCAATGGTCAAGACATCCGGTTCCTCGTCCTCTAGATCTAGACGGCGCTGATGAACCTCTTCAGCGGGGTGGATGTCGTATTCGTCTTCACGCTCCACATAGGCGACATTTTCTTCTACCTCTGCAAAATCTGGCGCTAGGGCTGACCACTTTTGCGGGGTGACTACCGACCATGCATATATGCATCCGGACTCGAGGCCACAGGCGGCTACCATTGGGCGGCTGGGATGCCATTCCACAACTCCCAGTTCTTCTTTAGGCCCTTCGAGGATCTTCACGAGAGAGCCATGGCTGCGTTCCCAGACATAGATATCGTGGTTCATGAAGGTGGAAGCCGTGACAAATTCCCCCGTGGATGAGAATGCGACATGGTTCC